GTGCAGGGGGCCCTGAAGGCATTAAGGAGATATTCCACATTTTGTTTTTAAATAAGTGTAAGGTTAAATTTCTAGTACTTAAATTTCTCTGATGAGGAATATTTTCATTTTTGTCATTCCTGTTATTATTTTATATATCTGGGTTTTCAGATTATACTTTTAAGTGTTTTAATTTCACTGGTCAAAGTAAAGTTAGGCTGCACTGCCCTTAGGTATTGATCTGTTTTTCCCTAATTTAAAGTAGGAAAGCACCAACATCAATGCAGTATTTTTTAGATTGAAGTATGTAAACCAAGATTAAAAGAGATCTGGGTAGAATTTGGTACTTTTCTCACTACTTACTAACATTGCTAATCACAACTTAATCTTATCCTTTTAGTTTAATTTTTTAAAAATATTTTTTAGCCCTAACCGGTTTGGCTCAGTGACTAGAGCGTCGGCTGCAGACTGAAGGGTCCCAGGTTCGATTCCAGTCAAGGGCATGTACCTTGGTTGCGGGCACATCCCCAGGAGGGGGGGTGCAGGAGGCAGCTGATTGATGTTTCTCTCTCATTGATGTGTCTAACTCTCTATGCCTCTCCCTTTCTCTCTGTAAAAAAAATCAATAAAATATATATTTTTTAAAAATATTTTTTATTGATATCAGAGAGGAAGGGAGAGAAACATCAATGATGAGAGAGAATCATTGATCTGCTGCCTCCTGCAACCCCCACACTGGGGATTGAGCCTGCAACCCAGACATTTGCCATTACCAGGAATCAACCTATAACCTCCTGGTTCATAGATTGATGTTTAACCACTGAGCCACACCAGCCGGGCTCAGTTTGATTTTAATGTTTCTTTCTAACTTATTTTAAACTCTTTCCTTGGATTCAGGCCTCCTTGGGTCTGACATCTGGCTCTGGGGTTGGGACAATTTAATAACAAACACTTAAAAAGTTTTTCTCTCCGCTGCCAAGTAGAGTGTGTGACCTCTCTGAAGTGGGCCCTCTTGCTTTATTAGTAGGTTTCTTTATTTGAAGACTTTTTTTTTTAATTAATCTTCCTAGCTTTTCTGGTCATTTTACACAAGAGAGACTTCTCAGGGAGGAAGCTGAACATATCATCCCTTTTCTTTCCTGTTCCCTGAATTTAACTTTCTTCTTTAAGCATAAATTAAGGCTAGGAAGGGAGGACAGACATATCACACAACTGTGTTTCCATACAGAGAATACAAAAACCTAACACTGATGTTTTGCTAGGTACCCACTTCCTCCCTGCTGTTTTTCTTGAGGACCAATGGCCTTTGGCTAAATGAAGTCCCACATCCCACTCAAGCCTATGAGAACGGAATAGGCTTTCCACACCCCTCCGTAGCTGATTCTCACTCCTCTTTTCTATATCCCAAAGTTTCTCTTATCCCACATTTGGTCAGAATAAAGGATTATAACAGCTTTATCCCCTGGTCCAGACTTGCTCCTACTGTTTTGTTTTGTTTTAATACATATTTTTATTGATTTTGGAGAGGAAGGGAGAGGGAGAGATAGAAACATCAATGATGAGAGAGAATCATTCATCGGCTGTGCTGTCTTCTGCTTTCCAGCCACTAGGGATCGAGCCCACAGCCCTGGGCATGTGCCCTTGACCGGAATCGAACCTGGGACCTTTCAGTCCGCAGGCCAATGCTCTTGTCCACTGAGCCAAACCAGCCCGGGCTTGTTCCTACTTTTTTAGCAACCCCCCTTTCTGGACTGTCCATCACAATATAAAACGGGTCCTCAAACTTTTTAAACAGGGGTCAGGTCACTGTCCCTCAGACCGTTGGAGGGCTGTACTATAGTTTAAAAAAAACTATGAACAAATTCCTATGCACACAGTGGCAGCAAAAACACCCGACGGGCCGGATAAATGTTTTCAGCAGGCCGCTTGTGGCCCGCAGGCCATAGTTTGAGAGGACCCCTGATATAAAACATAAACCCAGTCAAGTGCAGTGCAACAGTGGAAGAGGATTTTAGGGTGTAAGTACAATTGTAACCAGGGAAAATAGATATATTTTTGTCATTGGTTAGTAAAGTAAGGCTTAAAATATTAATCCCTTAAGTGTTCTATGATATATATATTTTTTTAAATATTTATTTATTTATTTATTTATTTATTTTAATCCAAAGACCCTCATGCTTGGATTTATGAGTTTTTTCCTGTCTATCATGCTTTCTTTCTCTATCATACAATCATTCTCTTAGTTCTATCCTTCTTTTGATCCTAAAGAAAAAAATTCTTGAGTGGACCTCACATCCATCCATCCCTGTGGTCTTTGCCCTCTTGCGGCTTACTTTCTTGCTGAATCGGGGTAAACTTTATGTTCTACTTTTGTCCTTAAGTGCATTTTATCATCTGTTTCTCCATCTTTCCCACACTAGAAGACTTGGATTTTCTTCTTGGTTTTAGATTTCTCTAATCTCTCCCCTCTAGTCTTGCTTCTAGCTCTTCTAGTCCCTCTATTCTTTTCTACTAAATCCTCTTTAGTTTCCCATCATTGTTTCTTTCATGGTCTTCCCACTCAGAAAATGTTGAGACCGGCTGCATTTCATTCCTTCCCAACAATACAGTCTGTGTCATGCATGTACTTTTTTTTTTCTTCAGCATTATGATCTTGTCCTAGGAGCTCTGTGATCTATCACTACATTTAAAATGCTCAAGGTTGAGTGTCCACCTATGAACCAGGAAGTCGCTGTTCCATTCCTGGTCGGGGCATAAGCCTGAGTTGTGGGCTCGATCCCCACTGTAGGGTGTGTAGGAGGCAACCAATCAATGATTCTTTCTCACTGATGTTTCTATCTCTCCCTCCCTCTCTGAAATCAGTAAAAAAAAAATTTAATAAAATAAAATGCTCAAGGTCCTCTGTATACATTTTAATACATGAGCCCTAAGAAAGGGATACATTTTGTAAGATGCTATCTTATCTGCCTTGTATCTTAGTGCAAGGGTAGCCCATAGTCCATGTGTAATATTTTAAAATAAAGTGATGAATTGATTTATTTTCTAAATTGAATACATTTGACATATAACATTGGATAAATTTAAGTTATACATGTTACTTTGATACATATATATATTATAACTAGAGGCCTGGTGCATGAAATTTGTGCATGGGTAGGGTCCGTAGGCCTGGCTGGCAATCAGGGCCGGTAGTGGCCTTCTGGCTGCTGACCGGGGCCTTCCTTCCAGCTGCCTGCTGGGGCTTTCCTTCATTTGGCACCACCCCTGGTGGTCAGCACACATCTTAGTGAGCGATTGGTCTCCCAATCAAACTCCCACAGGGGCAATTTGCATATTAGACTTTTATATATAGATAGATAGATAGATATGATTGTCCTAGTGATGTTTACCATATTACATAATTATAGTAAATATTATCTATATTCATATTACATAAAGTACAATGTTGTCAGTATTCATTACACTGTGCTCTAGATCGCTATGGCTTATCTACTGCTTATTGCAGATTTGTGCCCTTACACACCATTAGTCTTATCTCTCTACCTCCTGAGATAAATAGATTTTGAGTTGTACACTCAAGGTCTACATATCAAAAAAATTAAGACAGTTGTTAGACCTTCTTTGTTGCCTAGTTTCTAGTTTTATTTACTTGAAAGACAGATATTCTTTGTTGTCATAGTTACCTCTTGCCTCTAATTTGAAAATTTCTGAATAAGTATAGATAAATTTTTAGTCTTAACATCAGTGGAAACTAAATATTATCTTTTTAATAACAAATCTTTATTGTTAAAATAGAGAGAGTAAGCCCAACTGTATGAGGCTGGAATTTATGCAGTGATTTATTGTAAGTTTTGAAAGTATTTTATTACTTTGGACGCAAGCCCCTAGATTATAGTTATTCCAGTGGATACACAGCAGATTGCTCTCTGGCAGCTGTCACTTGCTGATGCTTTATTTACCAGGTGGGCTGGCTGCTGCAGTTTAAATATAGTTCTTCAAACAAGTTCCTGATGCCTTATTAAAATGAAGTTGTTTCTAAGAAAATTAAAAGCTTAATTAGCTGAAAGTTTGCATATTTTCAATAAAAAGATGATTTTTTTACAAATGAACAAGTCTAATGGTAACACTAGAAGTAAGTCCGTACATCCCCTTAGTGTCATTGTTTACTTCATTTTATAGAAGAAACAAGTTCAGGGAGGTCACCCAGTCGGGGTGAGAAGCAGCCTGCTATCACTACCCACATTCTTGGCTTTCTACCAATTCTTCCCAAACTTGTCACTTCCTAGAGAGCCTGTTCTATGATCTGCCAGTGTCTCTTAACCTTCTGGCTGCCCCTAAATCCTCCAATTTTGAAAGATGTTACCTACTAACCTACATTTGTTAGATAAATTTACTGTATTTTGGACAATCAAAAACAAAAGAACTTAAAGTTAGACTTTCTGATCAATATGAGCTAACTAACCAGGAGCCACACTAAATTGATAGAATTTTGGCAAAGAAAGCCCCTCCCCCTTTTTGTTTTTAGAAATGGATACATTGCATAAAGCTTAGTTTAGGAAATAATCGTTTATAGATCGACATTAATACTGACCTAATACTTCTTAGAGCCTTAAAGATCTGAGGACCCCTGGGAGCAGTGAGAACCCCAAGTAATGAATCATAGCTCTTAAACCTGCTACCTTGAAGTTTAAAATCTAATTGTTATTTGGATGCCTAAAAAGAAAATGCCTGGCCCGGCCAGTATAGCACAGTGGTTGAGCATTGACCTATGAACCAGAAGGTCACAGTTCAATTCCCAGTCAGGGCACATGCCCAGGTTATGGGCTTGATCCCCCAGTAAGGGGGCATGCAGGAGGCAGCCGTTCAATGATTCTCTCTCTTTATTGATGTTTCTATGTCTTTCTCCGTCTCCTTTCTTCTCTGAAATCAATAAAAAAAAATTTTTTTAAAGAAAGAAAATGCCTGTTACAGAGTGAACATGTTGAATTAATACTTTTATTTCTTTTGCTTTTTGCACATAGATTGAATATGAAAGGAAAAAGAAAGAAGATGGAAAACGAGCTCGAGCTGATAAACAGTATGTTTTAGACATGCTGTTTTCGGCTTTTGAGAAACATCAGTATTATAATCTTAAGGACCTGGTGGACATCACAAAACAGCCTGTGGTATGTATATGCTCACATTGATCCTTTTAACATTTCCTGCTTCACTAACAGTGAACCACTTAAGAGAGGTATATCATACGTAAGTTCACATGCACCGTGCTAATGGCAGAAAGGGTGTCTTAATGCAGCTTTCTTTTGTTTATAACATCAGCTTCATTATTTTGAATTTCAAGTATATTTAATATTAAACCCCTTCCCCAACAATTTTTTTGTTAAAAACGTTTCTTTTTCAGACTAATTTTTTTATTTTGGTTCTATATAGTATTTTTGATGCTGGTTATGAAAACAGTTTGTAACTCGTCTTCCTATAAACCACATATTTTTTACCATATTTTCTTAGTATACTCGTCGACGACTGAAAAAGAACATTTTGTGAAAACGAGTATACACGTTTCTGCCGGGGAAGGGGTTAATAGTTGCATAAGAAATAAAGGTGAATTTATCCTCCTTTTGACTGATCCTGAACATTAAGCCTGAAGTCGTTGTTTATGTCATTTCTAGTCTTTCTTTTGTTCTCCTAGCTTCCTCCAAAAAAGCTCAACTCCTTTTTTTAATTGGAAAATGTGTCTTAGAAGAATCATATTCTTTTAAGAGTCATACTGGTCTGTCACAATGAGAGAGTTTATTCTGCCTGTGGGTTATTCTGTAATGGATTTTTTAAATCAGAATCTACCTATCATTAGCATTAGGTCCTTTTAAACTGGCAGTACTGCCTCATGATGCTTGTTGGGACTGTACTTACGTTTGCCTATTCTCCATTTTTAAGGAAATAAATGGATGTTTTTGAAATCTTGTTTGTTCTTTAAATGATCATTTTTTACCAATTCTCCAGACTTTTGTGCATATTTGCTAATAATTTGTATTTCTAATCCATTTAGAATGCTGGAAATAAGTAAAGGGATGCAAATCCTTTCTCTAGCCT